GGTCAGATCAGGCAAAAGTTAAGATTCTTGTGTCTCAACCAAACTGGTTAAAAAAAAAAGCCTGTCATCAAAGCTACACAGGAGGCATAGGTAGAAAGATCCTGGTCCAAAATGGCCTTTGGCAAAGAAGACTCTATCTAAAAAATAAAGAGAAAAAAAGCTACAGGTATAGTTCAAGCAGTAGAGTGCTTTGCCTAGAAAGCACAAGGCCCTGAGTTCAAAGTTTAGTACTGCCCAGAACAAAATAAAGGTAGAGGAAAACAGCTCTCTGAAATAGCACATAGAGCCAGGGTAAGGAGAGGCAAAAGAAAAATGTCCCCACTCTCCTCCACAGGGCAAACTGCCTTGTGCTCAAAGTCAAGCAGCTCTGGTGTGTGTCTGATGGGCAACCCACTGCTACATTAAAATAACCTCTCTTGGTCAAATCTGATCCAGGAGACATATGCACTATTATAATAACAGTGTGCTACCATCTAAAGCACTCCCCGAGATCGTTTACACACACTACTGTTTTATTTATCCATCTAGTCTCCCTATAATTCCTAAACAATCTCCTTTTCTTTCTTGAAATTCCAATTACACATATTGTCAAGACACTTAGCACAAACTGTTTCCCAGCTTTAATGTTCTCTTTTCTCCACTTCAGCTCTTCCTGTTTTAAAGATTTAATTGATGGCTTTGACAGCCCAAGGTCGGGTATTCTTTGTCTGGAATCCCCACTGTTACCATCACATATTCTCACCAACTCCATGGATCAGCTGTATGTCTTTTGCTTCTGTATCCTCAGTGACAATCAGATGTGTATGATCCTCAAAAACATTTTTAGAAAGTCTAGCTCCAACTCTTATATGTACTAAGTTGCTGAGCTCCAGTTTCTTCATAAAATTAAAAACATGGACAAAAGGAAAACTAGAGTAGGACAAAACAGGTTAGGAGCTTGCATTTATTCCAAACCTGACCCAACTTTGCCACTTAGAGGTAATCTTGGGCTAGAATGTCTAAAATGTCCTGCCTGCTTAGTTTACAAAATCAAAGATGTATTCGTTCATTCCATAGAAGTGTATATAGAGCCTGCAAATGGAAGTGGCACCAGGGTTTAAAAAGGAATGGCTGATACCAGGCTACAGTCGTTCACATTTGTAATCCTTGCTACTCAGGAAGCTAAAATCTGAGGATTGTGGTTTGAAGCAGCCTGGGCAGCAAAAGCCCAGGAGACTCTTTAACTAAGTAGATACCCAAAAAGCCAGAAGTAGAGCTAGAGCTCAAATG